GAGAGAGAGAGAGAGAGAGAGAGAGAGAGAGAGAGAGAGAGAGAGAGAGGCTTTGATAAGAAAAAACATTTCCCGGAATATAAGAATAATAAATATTAAAATATACAAAATGATTTTAACTATATATTTAGTTTATTTTTATTATTGATTGATGATAAAGTTATTAAATAAACAGTAATCTAATTTATTAATAAATGAATTCAATTTAAATAACTAATAATATTATGAATAGTAAACTACAAATTTTCCACAAAATCTTAATATTATCGAGCACCATATTGTTATTAACAACACTATCTCAATATGTGTGCAATTGGGACGTACCGGTGACCGGCCTGTGCGCCCCACCTCCAAAAGCGCCTAAGTCAAGAATTTTGACAAATGTACATGTACCAAATAGTTTTAATATATTTATTGACTGCAATAAATATGGATTCCCGCAGCACCGACAGGAGCTAAATTGCATACACGGCCGATGGGTTGGTCAAACACCACGTTGTGGTCAGTATGTTGTTTGAATAATACTAATATTATTAAAATAATGTTACATTAAATTATAAATGTAATAATGATTGATAATCATATGACATAGGCAAGCTCTTAGACGCAAAGGTGACACATCTAAATATATACAACTGCGAATCGACTAACAGGGAGTTAATATCGCTGCCGGTAGATAACGAACGTGAATCCACACTGCGCGAAGAAGAACTTCCCTACACGTTTTTCTATACACGTTTAACACGCGATGCTCATATCTTTTACAAGGGTAGCACTTGTTACAAATGGGATTTTCGTTTTGATCGTAAAGTGGCCGTTGCTTTTCTACTGATATTCGTTTGGTACGATTCGGTAAATTACACCGATTATACTATTACGCCTGTAGTGAGCCCATACAGGAACTGTCGGCTCCAGTATGTATACTATGACAATAAAGCGATGGGTTATAAATATTACTGCGATCTCGAAATGGTATCCAACAAATCACTGGCTGTTAATGGCGGTCTATCTGATAATATTACGGTACACGTAAACACCTCGTCTAAATATGAAATAGGCCTTACAGCCTTAGTTTTGGGCGGTGTTTACACAACTAGTATTAATGATAAATTTGTTGAACCGAATTGCGGTAAGTTGTTCCAACATGTAAATGGGGTAAATATTATGAACGAATCAGGTTATACGTATGTCACTTGCAATAATTCATTTGTGGATATTAGCCTTGACAAAAATTCCATTGGTGAATATGATTTAGTTAGTGGTAATCCAAAGTGAGAATTGTTATTATATTTACTGTAATTAATAATCATAAATGTTTACATAAATTAATATATTTTATAACGGTATAATTTATAGACACCGTTTTAAGTGCAACGTTAACGGTCTATGGGAAGGCAAATGGCCAATCTGTCAACCCAAAATCTACTGTAACAAAACGGAGATTTATGACCTGATGAATAGTGCGGTGATCATTAAAAAAATTACTAAAGTTTATTATAGCAATTCTACAAAATGGTATGCAATTAACGATAGTGTCGTACACTACGTGTGCAACAGAACAAATACAAGTGTGTACAAAATCATGAAGTGTATGAAAAATGGTCAATGGTCTGGTTATGAATGCATAACTACTATCAATAGTATGTTAGTTCTTGTCAATCTAAATAAATTTATTTATTAATAATATAATTAGTTATTAATAATCAATAAGTATATGTTAAAATGTATTAAAATTACTTTATAAATAATATAATTACTTTTCAAATCACCGTAAATTTAATCTATATTTCCAAACATATACCAAAGTTTATGCATAGATTTTTATAATTAAATTTCAACATATTTATCAAAATTTAAAATTATTACTATAATTTCGCTGAACATGGCACATTTCATAATTAAAAATCCAATTTATAATAAAATATATTTAAATTTTAGTAGTCGATTGGGAAAATATAACTGGTTTTGCGATTGCAGCCATATTATTTATCATATTAATTGTGTTCGTGGCGCTTGTGGTAATATTATTTATCAAGATCTCCCGACGATATAAACGAGAATTGTGTGAAACGCGTAAACGGATTGAAGAAACACAACCTAAACGTTTAAGCCGTGAATTATATGACGATACTATTGGTGTCGACGATCCGGGAGCCGACATCTATGATAGCGTCCATATCCATGAGACGATTGACTCTGACTACAGTGAGATGACCGCTAATAGGGATGAAAATCATTCCTACCTTAGCGTCCGGTATACTGTTGCTGATCGGGAAAACGCCTATTTAAATATGAAACCAAGTGGATAAATTTAGGCTAGCACGGTTTTGTTATTGATTTAAAACTGTATTACGCTAATTTATGAAATTTATGTAATTTTTTTGTAAAATTTGGCCCTAAATTACACGAAATTATTATCAATTTAGATGATTGGTCTGATTTAGACATGCATTTCGCTGATTGGCTAATGATGTGTAAAAATGTCCGCAAAATGACCATCATGTCAAACATTTGCCTATTTTGGCAATTATTGTGCGATACGACTGACCATCAGTTTAAACGCTTAACCAAAATAATGTTAAACATTGAAATGACTAACGCATCGGCTTTTGACTATTATTTTGAGAAATTTACCCGTAATTATGGCCAACAATTGACTGCAATACACATCGCTATTGACTCCGGGAGGCTATCGGTGCCTCAAATCGTAGGCATACTATCTAACCTATCAGTAATGCATCGATTAATAGATCTTGGGATTAACCTAGACTTTATATACCCGGCCACTAATCTAGCTATTATTGACGCCATAAAGTTGATTGGTAAAAAATGTAAACGTATCAAAAGTTTCCGTCTGTTAACCGATAGATATTTCGGGCAATTTTCCGGTAAAAATACAAATATAATCAATACTATTAACTACGCTATGAGTTCACTAAAACGATTAGAGATTAGCGTTGGTTTAATGGACGAGTCGGTGGTAATCGACTGCCGGCTTAATAAATGCCGTGCGTTAACACGTTTAGTGTTAGATTTTGGTGGCGATAGCTTAATAAATGACCAGGTTTTATATGATATTAGTTATTATATGCCCAATATGCAATATTTGCGATTATCGGCTGTAGGGTTAACATATCTATCAATTAAATTGCTATCAAATTTATCTAAAATTGAATCAATTAAACTCATATCTGATACCAAGATTAGTAACGCATCCATTGGTTTACTATGGGATAATTGTCATAAAATAAGAACAATTTGTATTAATTAATCATGTTAATAAAACACTAATATTTATTAAATCTGTGTGATTATGTATTAGATTTGTACTTATTAAATTTACTAAATTTATTATTTAATTAATTATACGTTTTAAAATTAAATTATTGAATAATATAAATATGAATGTGGAATTCACATACAAACTTATCTGTATTACTGCTTGTGTTTGTATTGCATAGCAGTGCATACAATAGTAAAATTGATATAAATAGCGTTCAATAGTTATATAAGTTAATAATGTACTAATAAATTAATATAGATTATAATAATGTCATATTTATTTAAATTTTTTTACAACTTTTTTTATAAAAAAACCCTTAAATTCTGGTGTAATAAAGTCATATATACTTTTGATATCATTAATTTTTTCACTGAAAATTTGTGATTTTTGTGCTTTAGATAATTGTTCAAATATTTTATCATTATTTAATAAATTAGTTATGACATTATTATAATCTATATTAATTTATTAGTACATTATTAACTTATATAACTATTGAACGCTATTTATATTAATTTTACTATTGTATGCACTGCTATGCAATACAAACACAAGCAGTAATACAGATAAGTTTGTATGTGAATTCCACATTCATATGTTGTTTATAAATATTTTTTTGTAAAAATCATTTGAATTAAATAAAAAAATTTAAAATATGTAATATTGTATTATATAATTAAATAATTTAAAAATGCATTTAATATAAACATTTCATAATTATTAATTTAATGAAATATTTTGTAATTTATAATTTGTAATAATTGTGTAATGTAATTTCTAATTATAAGTTCAAATATGATAATGCAAATATTATTTTAGTTCAAAACATGTTGTAAAGTATTGTGATAAACAAATTTAGAATAGTTTTTTTCATTTTTCAATTAATAATAATAATTAACATTATAAATAAAATGACGTTTCTAATTTAATTATTAAATATAATAAAACCCAAATCATTTGTTTATGTTACAACATTTTGGTAACCGGAAAAGTACCAATTTCCAAATGTTTATTGCTTAATTGTGTTGTATGCACTATTGAAAAGTGAATCACCGTGATACTCATGTTATTGTCAAAATTACAAACTATATAAACAAGATATTATGCAGCATAAATTTACCAAGCTGTAATAGCAATATAAACTGTTATTTTATTTATTAAATTATAAATTATTAGTATAAACTAACACTATTTACACTTTTTAAAATACAATAAAATCTAACCTAGTAAATTTAATACATCACTTATATTTGATAACTTCAATATAATTTGTAATACAAATTTTGTATATTCCTATCAAACTATGTTCTCGCAGATAAAACCGACCAAGATTGTCAACAAACTGGTTGGACCGGCGGCATCACAAATTGTCCCTGTTGTTGATGTACAAGTTGTTGCCCCAGTGGTCCCAGTTGTTGCCCCAGTGGTCCCAGTTCAACTTCCACCATATCAAGATGTATTAGCTGAAGTATTGCGTCGACACCCTATGCTACATTGTCTCCGTTAAGTTATCGATCTTGTAATATAACATTATGTAAACTAAATGTTTGATACTATGTACCTAATTAATTCGTTTATTTTTATGTAATATACATATATCGGATTATAAAGTATCATTGTATTAATCTTTTTAAAAATTTGATTAATTATTATTTATCATTGCTTATTCAGACGTAAACTATTTTGGCTATATTCTTAGCCAAGATTAATTTGCTTCTGTAATTGCGGCATTATTTAGCATTAATTCACCAAGGGCGCAAAAAAATGTATAAATACAAGCTTACACATTAAACTATCAAACAAATTTTGTAAAGTTTGTAAAACAGTACTTAATGGACGAGTCGGTGGTAATCAACTGCCGGCTTAATAAACGCCGTGCGTTAACACGTTTAGTGTTAATATTTGGTGGCGACTGCTTATTAAATGACCAGGTTTTATATGATATTAGTAATTATATGCCTAATATGCAACATTTGCGATTATCGGCTGTAGGGTTAACAGATGTATTAATTAATGCGTTGACTAATTTATCTAAAATTTCATCAATTATACTCATATCTGATACCAAGATTAGTAACGCGTCTATTGGTTTACTATGGGATAATTGCTCTAAAATAACAACGATTTGTATTAATTAATCAAGTTGATATAACTTTAATATTTGTTAAATCTGTGTGATTATGTATTAAATTTGTAATTATTAAATTTAATGAATATGGTGTTTATAAATATTTGATTCTGTAAAAAGCATTCAAATTAAAAGTTACAATATTTAAATATCTAATTATATTATTATAACATTTCTGTAATCTAGTAATTAAATAATTCAAAAATGTATTTAATATATATATTTAAAGTAATTCTCAGTAAAATTACTTTCATTTCTCTTTGCAATCCATTTCATTATAATTGTAATCATAAATACTTTGATTTTAACCCAATTTAACTTTAAATGAAAACACATTTCTAAATCTATGCTAAATATAAGCACACATTTATATCAAACACATCCATAAATACAACACAAACACATTCCATGAAATGCCGACCACTATATGTGGGTCAAACTGACCTCAATGGTCACTAACCAGGGCTATTTAAGTCCCATACACTTTGTACACAATACACAGTACTCAATAGACAGCACACATACTGTACTTCACAATCAAACACTTAATTGAGTGTTCATTTCAATATAATTGTATTGATTTAATTCATATATTTTTGTAACTATTAATGAATTTCTATTAAGTTTTAATTCAATAAATATTTCAATTCATTCAACTCAATACTCGACTGCATATTATTTACTTTTATGTGATTTTACGTAAAAACAATCAAATAGTTTTACATATATTTAAAATTTATTAATTTAATAAAATATTTTGTAATTATCATTATTTCTATTTATATATTCAAATATAATATATCATTTAAAATGTTTTGTAAACTACAAATATTACTGAAAATATTATTTTAAAGCAAAACATTTTGTAAAAGTATAATGATAAACAAATTTAAAATAATTATTTTTGATTTTTAAGTATTAATAATAATAATTAACATTATAAATAAAGTAACTTTCCTAATTAATTTATAAAATATAATAAAACTCAGATCATCTTGTTTATCTGACAACATTTTGCTAACCGGTAAAATAACAATTTTTGTGATTGTTAAATAATTTCCAAATTTTTATGACTGAATTGTAAAGTGTGCGCTATTAAAAATAGAATCATGGTGATAATCAGGTTATTGTCAAAATAAACATTTAATGCATTTATTCTTATGTAATAAACAAATATTAGTATATAATTTATCATTGTATTTTTTAAACTTTAATTAATCATTATTTTATTATAGCTTATTCAAACATAAGCTAGATATTGAGCCAAGATTAATTTGCTTTTGTAATTGCGGCATTATTCAGCATTAATTCACCAAGCGCACAAAAAGTATAAATACAAACTTACGCGTTAAGCTATCAAACAGTTGTATTTGTAAAACAATACAATATTATTAACAGTACTTAACAAATATAATTAACAGTTATAATAAATTAACCCGTTTTAATTTACCCATCATGAATCGAGAACGTGAGCAAATCAAAAACTCCGATACAACAGTAGCAGGTGAGAAGTCACCTGATACCAGACACCATCAAAGTTACCGACAGCGTTCGCAGACAATATCGGGAGCACCCGCGGCGGCCCCCAAACGGCAGACATCATATCACGATGTGTTGGCACAGGTGTTGCGCCGCAACTCTATGTATGATATACTTCAATAGGTTTTTTTACCAATGGTTTAAATAATACATGTAGCAAGCTGATCTGTTATTTTATACATATAGGTATTACAATTATGTTTTGGTTGAGAGATTGAAAATTTTTATTGATTGGAATTTTTCAAATAACTAAAATTTAACTATTAGTTTTACTATAAATATTTTTTGCTTATTAATTAATTAATAAACTATATGTATATACTGTAAATAATAAATATTTTATGTTGTTATATAAATTA